TGACTTTTTAAGCATCAATTTTGAACGCAAAATATCATATTACCCCTAGTCTTTAAAAAAAAGAAAAGAAAAGAAAAGCAAACGAGAATCTTATAACTGCCGTTGGTCACCACTACTTTGATTGCTGGTGGCTACACACCTGGAGCTCTGAAGGGATAGGACTAGAGAATTATTGGAAAGGAGATGACCTAGAGAACAATGACTATTTTTTCACTTTAAAAAAATAACAACTTTTGTTATATGAAATTACAGTAAAATCTTAAACAGCGATAACTGGCTATATTTTAAAATGTCAATGATGACTAGGCGAATGATTATCATTTTAAGAAATAACTATAATTTCATGGATGGCTAATTCTACAATGACTAGACGCGTGGCTTCATCCTTGATATGAAATGAATTGTATCTGTATTTTTTAACTATGTTCATGCACTTTTAATACAATGAGTTATCAGTTCTCAATGATATGATGAACCCTATAAATTGTTAAGCGTCTACTTGTGCGGTAAGTAGCAACAAATTTAAAAAGAACCCTAACATATCTGCATCATCATCTATTTTATATCCCTTGAAACGTGGATGACATAAAAAGGAAAAAGCTTCGCTGAGGCAATAATGGCTAGTTAACGTTTCTCGAGGTCAATTATGTCTGCAAGTCTGTGGCAAAACGTAATTTTATACTGAGAAATTATTGCCTACAAAGCCCATTCCGCGCTATAAGAAGGTCTGTCACAAGCCTCAGATAGCCACCATTTACAACAACCAGCTTGCCTGCCGAACTAAAATACCCTCTTTGAATATATTCCTGATTCAAAAATTGACGGACAAAACATGTCTGAAAGAGATTCCACTAAGCTGCCACTACTAAGAAAAACAGTTTCACTACAAAAAAAAAAAACATGTGATTAGTGACAGAATTTAGAAATGAAATTCTTTAGTTAGGGACATAATTAGTAATAGAATCGGATTAGCAATAGAATTAAAGAATTGCTAATTGGATTCGTGAAGGAATTTCAATTCTATTGCTAATTAGTGACGAATTACATCACTAACCAATGATGGAATTTTTCTATCGCTACTCTGTTGCTAATTTTGTGATATAAAATTTTTGTTCCTAATTAGCAAGAGAATTTTTCTATCACTAATCTAATTTTTTTTAAAAAAATAAAAATGTCACCTGGCACCTCCATCTGTTGTCACCTCATCACTGATGATGATCATCAGTAACCTCACCTCCGTCGCTACCTGTCACCACTTCACCTCTACATGTTGCTGTCACCTCAACTCTGTGTACCATCTGTTGCCATCTTGGATACTATCTGTGTAATATCCCAAATGTTATGGATTTAAGTAAAGCATGATGAAGGAGAAAATTTCTAGAGAAATTATTGAGATTAAGACCCTTAAAATATGGTATAAATAATTATAAAGTTAATATCAGGAATTTAGGACCTATTTTCTTGGAAAATTCAAGGAAAAATAGTTAGAGGATAATTTTTGAGCTGACATTTTTAGGATAATTATTTTATGGACTAAAGAAACTAATGGAAGAAGAAAATTTGTGTAAAATATCCATGTTTGATTTCTAGAATTATTTGATTATCCTAGAAAAAAAGAAAAGGATCAAATTGAAGGGAAAATGAAGAGCAACGGGCATAATGGTCATTCCATACCCCTCACCCACTTAATCTGCCCTAACATCTTCTCCTTTCTTATTTTTCATATGTTATTTGAAGTGAAAACAGAGAGAGAGCTGAGAGAGTGACAGATCAAGAAGGGGAAAGGCTATCAGAGGAGGGAATCGGTTCATATAAGGTGAAAATCAAACAAGATGAGTCTCTTGAATCTTCTTACATCATTGTTTTTTCTTATTTGGGCATGTGTTGCAAGGTGATAATGAAGATGAAATCTGGTTTTTGAGAGAGAAAGTGAAGAGCATGAGAGCCAAGCTATAGAAATCATGTTAATGGTTAGGATGGAGTTTGTGGTTGGGATTTCTACACTAGCTCGTATGGTTGATTGCTCTAGTTTTTAGTTACTGAAACAGGGGTATTCAATTTGTTCAGTGGTAGTTTGAGAACCTTGGGGCTGTAGGAGATGTAATATATTTATGTATGTGTGTGGGTGTTGTTGCGTGTCAAATCTGGAATGTCAGTGGCAAGATCTCAAACTGAAAAATTGAAGAATCATTACGAGTTGATGCTCTACAACTATTATTGGCATATTGAGTTATTAGACGACCAAGCTTAAAAGCTCTATTGTGATGGTAAGACAATAGTTTTAAAGCTAGAGAACTTTTAAAACTAAGGTAAAAAGGGCTGTTCCAAATTTGGGAGTATGTTTGGAATCTGGAAAAATTTTGCAGATTTGCTTATGAATATGGCGTGAAGTATAGGAAGGGAAGAGAGATGATTAAACCTTAGACATATAAAAATATTTTTGAAACATGGGGTGCTGTCCAAAATTGATTAAAATGTGAAGAAAGATATTGAAAGATGAAAAATTTTATAGATTAGTAAGGTTGCTGAAATTTATGTTAAGAAGACTGAATCAAGATCTTTGGACATCAAAATAGTAAATAGAATGACGTACATAAAGCTGGAATTGTGGGGAAATATCTGAAAAGACTAATACATGATAATTTGTTTATAAGTTTGTGTAGTATAAGTGTGTGTGTGTGTGTGTGTGTGTAACCTCTAGAAGTATGACCATGGGAAGCATGAGGGAAAAGAGAGAATACTTAAATACTTATACCTATATATATTAATCTATCCTTGTCTATATAATTTATAGGATTTAATATTTGTTCAAGTCTATTAAGAAGGGAGCCAAGGAAGAAGCAAGGGGAAGTTAGTACGGAAGAAAAAACAAAAGGTAGTAACTCTTTTCCTTTAATGTGATTGTGCATTGATTACGACATGCTTGGATGTGCCGGTATGCTAATTATGCATGAGAACATGTAAGTTGCCTTTGCATGATATTATTTGTCATGACAATATGCATTGGTTTCCATTTATTTTGGAATATGTGCGTGATAGATGGCGACTGGCTATATGGGTGTATGGTGTATATGCATAATTGATTTTATTTAGATGCAAGGTGTTGTTCTCTTTGGCCTGTATAGCGTGTTGTTTGTGATCTTGTATGATTACGTGAAGGAAAATTGTTACTACTGGGATTCTCTAGAATTTCACTCCTTCTTCCATGTAATACAGCAAGAGTAGGTACTCCTAAGGGCAAGGGAGTAGTGATTGGTGGAGCTTAAAGGTACAGGAAGTTGAAGATCTTTTGTGCGTGTATATATTTTGCCTAAAATGCATCTTATTTTGGAGTGAAGATATACTGAATATCTATTTTAATGTGTAAATATTTCTCCATAAGAAGATGTCTGAGGGCAGATAAACCATAATAACTACTATTAAAGGAAATGATCAATATTTTGATATATAGTTATTATTTTGCTAAATATTATGTGTATCTGTATATGTAGCCCGTTGTATGAGCCTATGGCCAAAGTATTAAATGTTAAACCCCACTAGTTATGTTGACTTAATATAGGATTTAAAGGGCTGGATGGAGAAAGAATGGGTTTGATGGTTGAATACGAGCTATGGGTTTTAGACAGTTTTTACCGTTTTTGTAAAAAGGTTAAATCACGTATTTGAACCACTAGACAGGTTACTTTGAAAGTGAGATTTTGAAAAGTTTAAAACTTTTCAGAAAATCTTATTCCTTGAACAGGATCAAACCATGTGTTTCGGAATTGTAAAAAAATAAAAAAATTCATCTTTCTCAGGATTGAAACTTGGCTTTTAATGATTCGAGATTAAACAAAATAACTCTATTGGTGTATAAGGGATGTTTGTTACATTTTTGTTATTAGAGCATGAGGTTCTGGCAAGAGGTTAAAATGCTCTACTCGCTTGAGATATATAATTTTGTTATGGTTAATTGTAACAAAGGTGTTTATATTGTGGTTTTAGGAATTTGATTTCTATTATTATTTTACAACTGTCTACCTATGTTTTTTTGGAGTTTAGTGTTGCTATTGTTATTGATTATGATTTATTTCATGATCAGTAAAGGATGGTCATACTTAGAGGAGGTAGAAGTGAAGGTCGGGTTGATGAAAACAGACCCCTACTTGACCCTCTACAACAAATTTTGGATAGACTTAATGAACAACAACAAATGATAAATCACATCAGAGAGAATTAGGCCAGACAGGACTGAGAAAGAGAAGAAAAGAATAGAAATGATATTCCTATTGGAGGCTTACAACAACAACCTAAACTACAATCACAACAAAACCCATAATTGGTTCCTGAAATGGCTTCTAAAAGACCAGTTGCAGAGGAAGAAAGTCTACAATATTGGATTTCCAGATTCTGTAAGCATCAACCGCCATCATTTATGGGCAAATTGGATGTACAAGTAGTTGAGAATTAGATAATGAAATTAGAGAAGATTTTCAGAGTTATGGAGTACTTCATTTAAAAAAAGCTCAACTAAGGATATATAAGCTGGAAGGTGATGCAATAGATAGTAGAAAAATACTGAACTGGTTTTGCAAGCTAGGAACGTTCTATTTACCTGGGAAGTATTTAAAGATAAGTTTAATGAGAAGGATTTTCCTCAGTCAATTAGGGATGAGAAAGAAACTGAGTTCCTGATACTGGAGCAAGCTGAAAATGAATCATGTGATGATTATCTAGCTAAGTTCATCCGATTGTCTCGATATTCCACACAACTACAAGAGCGAAATAATGAACGTTGTAGTATTGGAAAATTGGTTTATGGATTGAAGCCCATTTTGAGAGAAAAGATGGCTCCTATGTAGTTAACTCATTTTGACACGATAGTGGAGGTATGTAGAATCACTAAAAGTAACTTGCAACCTCAAAATGTGATAAAAGGCTATATCAAGACAGAAGCTTCTGAAAGACCATCAAGGAAGAGAAGTAACTCAGCTCCCTGGGATAGGAGAAACGCAAAAAGAATGAACCGTCCAAGGAAGCCAGGATCCCAAAGAGTTACTAAAGTGAAAGAATGCCCTCAATGTGGTAGAAACCATGGGAACAGGCCATGTTGGTTTGGGCCAAGTGTTTATTACGGATATGGAAAACCCAGTCACTTTGCTAGAGAATGTATGCAAAAAGTAGAGGAGTTTAGGCCTAGGAATCAAGGTAGAGTCTTTGCCATGACTCATGAAGATGTTCGTAAGTCCCCAAATATGATCCAAGGTACAATTCAACTTAATGGCAATTTAGTACAAGCATTGTTTGACTTTGGTGCTTGTCATTCTTTTATTGCTTATGAATGTGCTAGACGAGTAGGGTTAAAGGTTGATAAATTGCGTTATGATTTGGTTGTGTTAACACCCACAGGTGCTAAAGTTATTACTGCTAGTGTTTGTTTAAATTGTTTGATTCAGTATGAGCAAAAGGATACAGTCATAAATCTTTTTCACATGCCGTTCCAAAATATGGATATAGTTATAGGCCTCAATTGGCTATTAGCTAATAATGCATGATTGACTGTGGAAATAAAAGGCTTGTGTTTCCTAATCCCCAAAAGATTAATGAAATGGAGCTTGAGCTAAACTTCATCTCTATAACCCAAGCAGAAAAGTGGTTATAGAAAGGGTGTCAAGGGTACATGGTTTTCTTTTCATTGCAAGCAAAGGCAATAGTAAATTTAGATGATATACCAGTGGTTTGGGAGTTTCTTAAAGTATTTCGCGATGACATAAGTGGGTTACCCCCTAAAAGAGAAGTGGAGTTTGTAATTGATATAATACCTGGAGCAAGACTAATTTCAAAAGCCTCTTACTGTATAGCTCCTAATGAAATGGCAAAACCAAAGAAACAAATGGAGGAGTTACTAGAAAAAGGGTTTATACGGCCCAGTATTTTGCCATCGGGTACTCTGGTGTTATTTGTAAAGATGAAAGATAGAAGCCTCCGATTATACATTGATTACAAGGAATTAAATAAGGTAACAATCAAGAATAAGTACCCACTTCCCCGAATAGATGATTTACTTGATAAGTTAGCAGGTTCTTGTGTATTCTCCAAAATTGATCTTAGATCGGGTTATCATCAGTTGTGGGTAAAAGCAGAAGATACACCAAAAATTGCTTTTAGAACTCAATATGGACATTACGAGTTCTTAGTGATGCCATTTGGACTGACCAATACACTGGCAGTATTCATGGATTACATGAACCGAATCTTTTGATAGTATTTGGATCAATTTATGGTGATTTTCATTAATGACATCTTGATATACTCTAAGAATATAGAAGAGCATGAGGAGCATTTGAGAATTGTCTTAGAAATTCTTAAGAAGAAGCAGTTATATGCTAAGCTCAGTAAATGTGAATTTTGGCTTACAGAAAGTTAAATTCTTAGGCCATGTTATCTCACATGATGGGGTTACAGTAGATCCTAGTAAAGTGGAAGTAGTGCTAAAATGGAAAAAGCTTGAAACGGTTACAGAGATGAGAAGTTTTCTGGATTTTGCTGGTTACTATAGAAGATTTATCCAAAACTTCTCCAGAATTGCCTTGCCACTAACTTTGCTCACTAGAAAGAATCAACCCTTTGTATGAGATGATAATGTGAGGCCTGTTTTCAAAAGCTAAAGAAAAGGCTCACGTCCACTCTAGTCTTGATTATTCCTAATCCCAAACAAACCTATGTAGTCTACAGTGATGCCAGTAAACATGGTTTGGGATGTGTCTTAATGCAGCAGGGCAGAGTGGTAGCATATTCCTCTCAACAACTTAAGTCTCATGAAGAGAATTATCCTACATATGATCTAGAGCTAGCAGTGATAGTGTTTGCTCTCAAAATATGGAGACATTATCTCTACAGAGCAGCTATAGAGTTGTACTATGACCACAAGAGCCTTAAGTATTTGCAAGACCAAAAAGAATTAAATAGGAGACAGAGAAGATGGATGGAACTATTGAAAGATTATGATTATGAAATTAAATACCATCCAGGCGAAGCAAATGTTGTTGCTGATGCCCTGAGCAGAAAAACAAAACAAGTGGCAGTTCTAATGATTGAGGAACAAGAATTATTGGAGAAACTTAGAGATTTTAATCTATCAAATTAGATAATATTGGGAGGTTATAGTGTTAGATATGATTAGTTTTGATGATGTCAATAAATAGAACAAAAAGTTTGTATAAATTATTTACCTCATATTTTGACTAACTATCATACTTAATATCTTGTGTAGTTTCCTCAAAAAAGAAAGGAGTTATTATGTTGAACATTGAGTTATGGAGAATGATCAAGAGGAAGAAAAAGAAGAGAGATTAAGAAAAGAAGAACTTGCAAGACCAAATGGAAATATCAAGATTCAAGTTCATAGATTTGATGTTAAAGGTTGCTATGCTCAGTCAGAAGTTTGAATGACTCAATCGGAAGCTAAAATACACAAACCGAAAGTTATATAATCATATATTGAGTCACCCTTCATATAAACATTGAAAATAAGCTTCAGAGGTGATTTTTATGTGTATTTATCGATCAATTGATCGATCATCCACTTATCAATCAATTTATCATTAAAACACATACTCTGTTATGCTTTGTTCTTCATTTAGCTCTAACATAGGTTTAGTATTTCTCTAATATCTCTTAAATCACAAATCTGTTCGAGGTGAGACTTCATTCATATGAAACTAGACTCAGAAGATGGTTCATGGACACCAAGATCAGCTCAAAGGGTTTCATATGAGGGAGATATGCTATTCGAAACATTGCAGTAAGGATTACCACCTTTATTCCCATCTTTTATCACTTTGATGAAGATAACTTTGTAACGACAATGAATTTTGGGGTGATTCTTGTGGCATTAGAAAGTATACTCAAAGAGATTTCTGGGGATAGGTCATTTGCAAAATTTAGAGTTGAATTGGAAGATTTATGATCACTCAAAATTGACTTTCGTTTTACTTGAATCAGAATTAGAATTTATTGAAGCAAAGACCAGAAGTTCTACATTGATTGATTGAGCTCTCGAGCAACATGCTACTCAAACATGTTATTGAGTAAAAGCATTAGAAGAAATGAGAAAATAAAAAGCCATTATCAGATGTTACTAGAGCCTAATCAAGCAACTACATACTCGATCACTTTATCGAGTTCCTGGTACTATCTCTTCGATTCTTCTCTTTTATCTTCATATGCATTATTAAGGTTTTATCAGTAACCTGTTGGATAAATGGTTATGGATAAATGTATTTATCGATCACTTGATTGATAAGTGAGGTTTTTGATAAGCCATTAGATAAATGATGATGCAGGAAATAAGCGATCACTTAATCAATTATTGGTTGATCGATAAGCTGTCAGCAAAAAAGGTTGAACTTCCTCACTCGTAACATAAGATTTATTAACCACCTGATCAATAAATAGGTCATCGATAAGAAGATAGATAAATGGTAAAACTCTTCCACTTAAGTTATATTATGTTTCTTTCATCATTTATCGATCACTTTATCGATCAGATATTTATCGATAACCTGATCGAGCATTGTTTAATAACCCACTCAGTTTGTTTCTGTTCAAGGTTGTTATTTGGTTGTTTTATCGATCACTTGATTGATTCGTGATTTATCGATCAAATGATCGATCATCACTATTTCACTGAGTTACTTTTTAAGCTGTATTTTTCGATCACCTGATCGATAATCTAATTATCGATAAATTGATCGATCATCCAATCTTCTGAAACATCTGTTTTCACATAACGTGATCAAGGTTTTTTCTAGTATTTCTGAAATAAGTTTTCAATGATATTTTATCAATCACTTAATCGATTAATCATGAATCGATCATTTACTCGATCATCTTATATTCGGTAACTTCACTGTGAAAATCTCTTTGAAACTTGTTATCGATCATTTCTCCTATCAACCGTTTATCGATAAAATATTCGATCAATACACTTTGAAAATATATTTCTCTTATACTTAGCTTTATCGATAATATGATCGATTAAACAATTTTTGATCACTTGTTCGATCATTGTACAAGTTCATTTCATAACAGCATTTCACGATGATTTCAAAATATTTTATCTTTTTATCTTTAAGCTTTTCTCAGCTTTCTTTTTAGACATAACTCTCTATTAAAAGGATATGAAGGCAAACGTAACTTGAAAAAGATTATCCTTGCATAATCCTTTTAAAGCTCGCTGCATACATGCTTCATTATTTATCAATCATTTGTTCGATCATCATATGATCCATAATCTATTCGATAATTGCATATGTCTGCTATATCTTTTCTTCATATAATTAATCGATAATATGATCGATCAAAGGATTATTGATCAAGGCATCGATTAAGTAAGTTCATCTTACTTTCTGAATATCTGATGATTGATTCCATATTTTCCAACTTATTGTTTCTAAAATTATCAGATACTTATCACTTGATCTGAGGAAGATTATTTCAGGTAAAGAGCCGCAATGAATTTATGATGTGAAGAATTGGCTTTTGTCAGAAGCTTCCAACGGCTAGTTTCAACGGTCATATTCTTCAAGCCAAACGGGAAGAAAATGCTCAACAGTCAAATACCCAACATCATCTATAAATAGAAGAGCATTCAAAAAAAAAAAGAAGAAGAAGAGTTTGAGCTTACAACATCAAATGCTAAAATGCCGAATCAACATAGTCTCATTTAGAGCTCCGAAAGAAAACTCCCTGTCTTTGTACTTCATGGACTAAAACATATATATTCATAAGATAAAGAGGAGAGTTTCCCAAACATGCTTAAGATTCATCTATCACTTCTTTGAGAGAAGAAATATTCAATCTTCATTATCATTAATTGAAATTGATTATGAGAAAATCAAATCTTGCTCTAGCACCAAGGATATTTTGGATACTCTTGACTCTAGTTATACTTCTAATACTTGTGTTGAAGCTAAAAGTGAAGATAGTTCACCTGAGACTGATCAAGAAAAGGATACACAATCATCCACTCTCAGTGAACAAATGGAAGTCGAGATCGAAGAAGGTGAAATCACACAATACTTCCATAAGTCTGTCAAAACAGAAGAACAAGAGGAAGAAGAGCTCAGTATGGACGAATATGATGAATCATTATTTGGAGCTCAAGATGCACTTAAGGTAAACGGTCCCAATTCTTCTCGTACATTACTTATGAAAAATGATTTTGAATGTTTGCATAAAACTGTTGTTCGACCAGTCATTGATTCTGTTTTCAAAAGTAAAAATGTTTTTAATCATGCTGGAAAATTTACTGGGAAGAAAGAACTTACAAAGATATATCATTTAAGATTGCATTCTTTTAACCAATGCAATATTTGCATAAAATCTCATAATAGATATCATTCTGTTATTTGCAATTATTGTGGTAAATCAAGTCACATTTCTCAGCATGCTATTTTAGAAGAAATCCTAATGTGAGAAATAAATTTGTTTGGGTTCCTAAAGGACAAGTAAGGTCCAATGCTAACACTCAAAGACCCAAAGCAAAATGGGT